GCGCGTGCCGCCGAGCGCGACCGGCGTCGCCGTTTCAGCCAGGTCGGCGTCAGCGGCGGCGCCGAGCAGCTCGTGGCCAAGGCGCCCTCACCCCAGCATTGGGCAGCAGAGGTTCGCCCACAACGAGGTGGCCCACCGCAACTTCCTGGCGGGCCGCCAGATGAAGCCGCTGACGCAGCTGCACTACGGTCGCATGGCCGCGGAGGTGTGGCGCTTCGCGGAGGTGCATCACTACCCGCTCACCACGGCCACGCAGAGGGTCCAGCTCATGGTGGGCTACCTGCGGGGCATCTTCGTGGCGGGGGTCGGCTACGCGTTCGAGGAGAAGATCGACCTCAGAGGCCCGTCCGAGTTCGCGCAGGCCCGCCTGTTGCTCAGGGGCTGCTCCAGGGCGGCGCCTGGGAAGCCGCGGGACCCGAGCTCTTGGCAGACGGTGCTGCTCATGGTCGATCAGTGCCTCGGCTCCTCGTTGCCGCGCCAGCGGCTAGTGGGGTCAGCCGTGGCCGTGGCCCTCAACGGCTCCGTGCTGCTCAGCGTGAAGGCCCACGTCGTCACGGGCCTCCAGCACTCCGCGTCGCCGGCCTACCCCCAGGTCTCGATCTCCCTGGTGCTCGCGGCGCCGCCAGACTGCCCCGAGACGACGAAGACTCGCGAGTGCGACGGCAGGGCTATCGTCGGCGGCGGCGCGGCAGCGGCCGCCCCGCGGCGATGGGTGGCCAGGCCCGTCCGAGACCTCAAGAGGGCCACCCCAGCCGCCTGGCCGCTCTTCCCGTTCACAGCCCGTGAGTTCCAGGCCGCCCTTCAGCAGGCGCGGGACACACCCGGCGGCAGACGTTGCGCCCCTGTCCCCACGCCATACCGCACAGCAGTGCATCGGTCGGCCACGTCCTGCGGGACCGCTCACTCATGAAGTGCGTCGTCACGGCCGCTGGACCTAGGCGCGAGCGTGAATCGGTATGTGAGGCCGGCCGCTTGGCCCGACAGCTGCCCAAGCCTCCCAACGCTCAGTTGTCGGCCGCCGGCCTCGTGAGTAAGAGACTCGCCGCCAAAGCCTCTCTCGACTTTGGCCGCATCGTGACAAGGTGAGCCCAATATTGCCCCCTAGCTTCCTTGGGCCTCACCAGCTCCCAATACGGGGAAAATATGGGTGCTGCCTGTCTGCAGTTTTGTTTCGTGCACGACTGTTTGATAGGCCTTGCTTCGTTGGCATACAGATTGGATTTGATTCGGCTCTCGGCCGAACGATGCTGCAAAAGATGTGACAATGATTTGTTGTGCAATCTTACTGGCTTCCGCCAGCGCCGCCATCTCTGGTCGTGCGTCCTGGGGGCCTTGCATACTGTCGTTATTTGAAGTTAATTGTGCCTCGCCTCTGTTGAGCACGACCGTATCAATACTTGTGCTCAAGTTTTTCGGCACCGTCCGCCTTCGCCCACCGCCACCTGGGTGCTGCCTGTCTGCAGTTTTGTTTCGTGCACGACTGTTTGATAGGCCTTGCTTCGTTGGCATACAGATTGGATTTGATTCGGCTCTCGGCCGAACGATGCTGCAAAAGATGTGACAATGATTTGTTGTGCAATCTTACTGGCTTCCGCCAGCGCCGCCATCTCTGGTCGTGCGTCCTGGGGGCCTTGCATAATATATATATATATATATATATATATATAGATATATGTTTACATCGTGTTTGCCAAAATGCGGATCTTGCTGAAGCGCTGGCTTCATTGTCGGGGCTACCGCCCGTCCCGAATCGTGCTCCCGCTGCGGCGTTGGCCTCGTTTCCGCGCTCCCGCTCGTTCCGAATCGCGCTCCCGTTGCAGCGCTGGCGTTATTATTTCCAGCCCATGCCGCGGCGCAGTTTTCGGCCCTTCCAATTAGGCCCCAAAGCTCAGAAAATGCTCCCCGAAACAAAGAACAAAAGAGACACATCGGAAATGATTGCACATTCGGTGTCGATGCGTTGAGCTTTTGGGCCGCAGCAGCCCCCCGCCCACTTGGCGGCGTTGTCGCTTTCAGGAAGTATAAAGCGGGGGCCCCGTTTCTGCTGTGAGGAGGCGACGTCGAATGCAGAGCCAGCGGGCGCTCTCCATCTGCCCCGCCTTGCGCGGAGTTTCACGGGGAGCGCAAGGAGCTAGACGTGGGGCCGCGACTCCAGACCAGCCCAGACTTCTCGAAGACGATCCCCTTGCCCTCCAAGGAACCCGGCGCCATGCCATGACATGCTAAGCGGCGTTGTGTTCGGGGCCGCTGTGCAATGCCGTGCATTGCGTTGCAATGGCGTTGCAATGTTTTGCGATGCGGCGCTTCACTGCGCAATGCCACGCCGTGCTATGGCATGATGTGCTCTGCCGTGCTTTTCTACGCCATGCCGCGCTGCGCTCTAGCATGCATCGCGCGCCCTCTCGCGAGCATTGCCCTGCGCGACATCCGACGATGCGAACAGAGAGGGGGTCGACGCCATGGCAAGGGATGGGGGGGGGAGGGGAAGGGCGTCAGATTTGAAGCGAGAGCGACTAGTTTGACCCAGTAACTATGTCAGCGGCGCGACCGCGGGTGGCTATGGGCGCCGCGGCAAGGGCGACGCACTCCAGGGCGCCTGCGATGTCGCGCAGAACTCGCAGAAGGACGCCAGTTCTCTGAATTTCGTTCCTTACCCACTTTTCCTCCTGAGCGCGGCAAAGGTTGCACGTCGTCGTCTGGAGCGGAAATGGCCTCGACGCCAACCGGGGCCATGGCCCCCGAGGCGCGACCCAGGCGCGGACGGGCAGGGGCATGTCGAGGCGGCGGAGGAGTTTCTTACGTAAGTCTTTCGTCTATGTCGACGCGCAGGCGATGCTCTCGAAGAACCAGGCCACTTGCGCGGTAGTCCTGGGGCTGGTAGACGCGAAGTCACGGGGCATAAAACCAGCAGGGGGTGCGCGCGATGCGCGGGGCACCCACCCCGCGCGTGCAGCGGCCGCGGCGAACGAACGCGCGTTGCACAGGGAGGAGCTCGGCGTGCTTTGCGAGATGCTCCTGGCCCGTGATCCCGAATCGCATCGGCAGGGCGATCATCCCAGTGGTGATCAATTATATTTCCTTGCTTCCAGGCCACGATCGAGAGGAGTGAGGTTTTCGCAGACATAGTGGCCGCCTTGATTACTCGGGCGCTCCAGCTGCGCGTCGAACGAAACCAGGGCCCCGACGACCCCGTCGAGGGCAACTACGTTGCGGGGGGGGGCTCTGGATCTCCGGGCAGCGGCGCGCCGCCGCCGCCGCCGCCTCCGCCGCCGCCGCCTCCAGGGGCGAAGCCGCCTGAGAATCGATGCGTCACCAACAGGGTCACGATCAACGAGTCTTCTGCCAGGATGGAGGTCGTGGACTTACTCGCCTTCAACCCCGCGGTGGCTCCGGCGCTCGCATGGCCCGACTGCGCTGACGTTGATTTGATCAATTTGCTACGATGGGTCATGGAGTAAGGCGTCCAGGTAATGAAATTGACGGAATGTAAGTTGAACAACCAGTTCTACACGTTGCCAATCAGCCACGACGTCCCCCTGCTTGGCATCGGACGTCCACGCAGACGGAGATAATGCATGTCGAGCACGTCAGAGCCAGCATGAGCCTGGCGGAGAACAGTCAGTGCATCGCCAGCGCAGCGTCGGAAAAGGGTTCGGGCGCGGGCGTTGGGGCCGCAGGGGGCTCATCAGCACGCGAGGAGTCTGGCGACGGCGTCGGCAGCTCCCACGGCGAGAAGGACGACCCCTCCATGGCCCATCTTCTCGTCCTGGACAGTCCGCTGACCAGCTCGGCGCGCAAGGGTGATGCTATGCATCCTGCCTGCGAGGCCGATGGCAGAACGCTCGACTGCGCGATGGCGTTCGAGGATTGCGAGCGACATCAGAAGGCAGTCATTATTAGTCTAGGCGCAACCTCTCGGGAGATGCGAGACGCACTCGTCGGGCGCAGGGTATCTTGGCGATTCCATTTGCACTTCCAGAGGGCCTCTGTGAAGCCATTATGGACCAAGGTTGGAGCACTTACTCGCGTGGGCTCGACACAACCGCCTTTTCTGCGCCCTCAGCGTTGGTGCATTCATGCCCTCGACGGCGGCGGATGGGCGCGGGGCCAAGATTTGCACGTCAACGGGCGATCCCGCGGAGGGCGTCTAGGCGCATGCGGACGCTGCCAAGGTCCCGTGCATGCATGTTGACAAGTCGGGGGCCTGGGAAATGTTCGGCGATGGCCTGCGTGCCACCTGCGACATGCAGATGATGTCACTGCCGTCCAGCTCGGTCGGGCATGGGCCAGTGGGCGACGGCGCTCGCGGGAGGAAGCAATGCTGCGGCGAGAACCCAGAACATGTCTGCAGGGATGCCCTGAGATTTTACTGCGCCCTCCCCCCCGCCCAGACTCACCAGAAAGGCCAATGGGCTTACACGCAGAGGGCCGCCTCAGCACAGTCAGGCTCCGAGTGCGACTACGAGGCAGTTCTGGCCGCATTCCCGACGCAGCCCAGTCAGAAGAAAGAGAAGCCCGAAACAGAGACGCATGCGGCCTGCGGCTGCCACTCCCGGTGGCCCGCGGGCGGGCAGACAGGATCGGGCGTGGGCGCCCAGGCGCGGCAGCCGGCGGCGGCAGCCAGGCGAGCCCCCCCTTGGCACGCAGGCCGCGCACCATCCAGACAAGCAGCTTCAGGCGCGGATGAACGCAGAATGCTTGCCCACTTGCGAGCCAAGCCTCCGGGTAACGTCCAGCGAGAGTGGTCTTCCAAGCAGAACCCCTACCAGGACCCAGACGAACCCTGCCAGCGAGGACTTCGTGAACATGATCACGAGAGCAACTGGCACTTAGGGCCTGGAAGGGTCTCAGGTTGGTGACCAGGGTAGTCGGCTTCAGGTAGCGGCAATTGCACTCACAGTAATGCACGTTGACGAAGTAATGACAATGACGTTCCAAGAAGGTAGTGACCTCTGAGAGCTGCCAAAGACGTGGCGATGATGGATTCTCGAGCGACCACTTTACGCCAAAACGATCACATAGTCGAAGCAGGTCGACGGTGAACGAGACAGCGCCAGCGCCGGAGGCCGCATGCTTGGCCTGGGCCTGCGCGGGCGTGGCCTGGCTGAAGGGCGTGCACGGGGTGCCGAGGTGGGCGTGCCACGCCCCCCGTCGCGCTATCAGAGAACGGATGACACGGATCACGTTCCTATTGGTCAGGTCGTGCCAAGCGCCTCTGGAGATGTCGACGGGGGCCCAGCGCCGAAAGCCCTCATCGAGCGAGGCGGCCGTGAGGCGGGCGCAACCAGCGTAGAGCTCGAGGACGTGCCGGGCGCGACGCCGGCTGCGTGGCGGAGCCCGCAGGCGGTGAGGCCCGGCCCCAGCCGGCGGCGCCGGCACTGGCGGCGTGGCCAGCGGCTCGCCCTGCGCGACCGCGGGCGACGCGAGGCGCGGGCTGCTCCACGCTGTGTCTGGCCTGGCGCCAACTCGAACCGATCCGCCGCCCGGGAGTCGTAGTCGGTGGGGTTCCGCTTGCTCTCCGAGTAGCGGTGGTAGTGCTGGATCCCCGTGGCGAGCTGTCTGGCTGCGGACTGGCAGGCCAGCTGGCGCAAGACTGGGTTGGCACACCTGCCCTTCTCGAACGCCATCATGGATGAGAGATTGTCCCCTATGGAGAGGACGCGGCACCCATGAGCGGCCGCCGACCGAGTGGCGCGCCTGAGCCCCAGGAGGGTCGTCCGGCCCTCCAGCACGTGGATCGGCGCGGGGAAGAGGAAGGCGCCGCGCACGACGAGCTGCCAGCGGTGGGCGGCGAGCGCCGCGTCCGGCAGCGCCGGGATGCCGCTGCCGCCGGCAGCGGCGGCCGCTGCCTCAACCTCGATCCTGGCCGGGCGGTGTCGCCGCGGGGCCCCTCGCCCCGGCGGCGGCTGGCCGATGCCGGCGAAGAGGCTGTCGTCGGCGACGCCCGCGGCGAAGCCGGCCTGCACGGCGACTTCAAAGCCAGGAGGGCCCCCAGGGTCATCAGCGTAGCGATCAACGGCCAGGAAGCGCCAGCGCTCGCGGTAGGCGCCGATGTTCATCCGGGTCGAAACGGGACGTGGCCACGGCGTAGCCCCAGAGGCTGGCGTCCGAGCAGTACGCCCAAGGATGCCAGGGAGCCCCGAGATCAACGCCGGCAAGCGGGATCAGGGCCTTCACGAGGTTGAGCTCGCGCAGTTGCTCGACGTCGAACTTGCAGTAGTCGTGGGAAGAGTGCACGATGCGATACAGCGAGCTCAGCGCGGAGAGAGCGGGCCTCAGGAGCATGAAGTGGTGCACGATGTGGCCCATCAGAACCTCCATTGCCCCCGGCGTGCAGCCGCCGCGATCCAGCAGGGCCGTCACCGCCCGATGGAGTCGCCAGCCGCGCTCGCGCTGCGGGACAGCCCGACCCGCTGTGAAGTCGAGCCGAACACCGCAGCACACGAAGTCCTGCGTCCCGTAGCAGACCTCGTGATAGGAGAGCCCCCGCCGCTCAAACTCGCACAGGATGCCCTCGAGCGCCGCGTTGACCAGGCTGCGAGGCGAGCCCACGACGTTGGCGTTGTCGACATACGAGGAGCCCGCCAGCTGGCCTGGGGCGAGCCGCGCGCTGGGGGCGCGCTCCGAGACCATCCTGACGCTGTCGGGCGAGACGCCCAGAGCCCGACTGATGCCGATGCGAGTGACGTCCTGGATGATTCCGTTGCAGATGTGGAGCGACCAGCTCCAGCCCATGGCGAGCCCCTGGAAGCACGGGTACACGATGGTGTCAGGCTCCACCTGAAGGTAGGTCTGGCTCACCTCGTCGTAGACGCAGTCGGTGTCGAAATTGCGAATGGCCATCGGGAAGTCAAAGCAGAACCAGCTGCCGATCTCGAGCCGCTGCATCTGGTAGAAGCCCTGGCGCAGGTCCGCGCTAGCCCCGCGGTAGCCATCGTCGCTGGCGCACAGCCGGTCCGAGTCGAGGCAGAGGCCGCTGAGGGCGCAGGCGGAGCCCAGCTCGGTCCGCGGAGGGCGACGGTGCAAGCCCGAGGGCTCGCGGCCGTCGATGACCATGCGCAGCGATCCGTCCTTTTTGCCGACGAAAAAGATGCTGGCACGGGCGCGGCACCGCGTACGAACTCCGACGAGGCCGATGCGCACGAGCTTCTTAAAGAGGTCGAGCCGCAGGGCAGGGCTTCGCCGCAGGTTGACGTCCCCAAAGGGGTAGACGGGCGGCAGCTCTCCTGACTCGACCATGCCATCGAGCACCGACTGGGAACGGAAGATGAACTTCTCGGGCTCGTTGATGAGCGGGGGCATGGAGGTGGGTGCCAGCGAGCGGATGGGCAACGGGCGAATGCCACTGTCGAGAATCTTCAAAAGGTGCGGCTCGTACGGCCGAACTGGCGTTGGCCTGCCGCTGTAGACGTCCTTGGACTTCAAAATGGAGAGAAGCGCCTCATCACCGTCCACGCCGAGCGGGTCGCCGAAGGCTTCCACTCGCTGATGAATGCGCTGGAGAACCGATGCTTGGGCGGCGTTCGCAGGCAAGACCGAAGCGAGACGCCGCGCCGCCGCCAGCGGCGCGTCCAGGTCGTTCAAGGCCATGATCGCCTGGTTGCACCGCCGCCGCACGCCACACGAGAGCCCAGGTGGCAGCACTCCCGCTGGCGTCGATCTGCCCAGGAGCGGCAGAGGGAAAGAGTCGCCGTGAGCGCGACCTGTCAAAAAACGCGGAGCCCCCTCGGCGGCAGGGCCTCGCGCGCGGCCCCCTGAGAAGCGGACTGCGGAGGGAACGTAGGCCGAACGGCGCCGGGGTGAGCGCCGCCTCTCCGCAGCCCGCGCGACAGGAGTCATGGCGCCGCGGCGGCCGAACCGTCTGCTCGACCGCCGCGTCCGTGTCCGCCGTCACATCCACGCCCGCAGCCGTGGCCGCGGCCACCGCCTCCGCCGCCTCCACGGTGTCCGCCCGCACCGCCGTCCTCCCACCTGCCAGAAACTCGGCCCTGGCCGCGAGAGACCTGCTCCTCGCGCGGCTGCCGTCGCTGCCTCAGCGGGAATGCCCCGTCCTTCTGGATGACCGCGATGCACTTCGAGCACACGGGAAGGACAAAGCCGCCAAACTCGTCGGTCGTCGGGGCGACCACCGCGATGAGGTCCTTGAAGCCTGGGCTTCGAGGGTGGCTGACGACCGCCAACTTGCTCTGGGCGAGGTAGCGCACCAGGACCTCGACCCCCGCGGGGCCGGGAGAGCTGAGCATGTCCTGCAGCAGGGAGGCGTGCAGGGCGTCGGTGAGGCGCCGGCGGCAGCGCGTGGTGTTGCGGCCCGGCGAGTCGCCCGACTTGTGGGCGAAGCCCCTGTGGTGAGTGACCCACTCCATGCCAGTAGCCCGCAGCCAGCACACGTACTCGTGAGAGACCCTCTGGCCTGCCACGAAAAAGAGCTGCTCGGGGGCGGTGTGCTGTAAGCCCTGCGACCCGACCAAAGTGGAGACTCGCTGGCCGCTGACCGTGTCCGTCACGTCACTTGTGGCCCGTGCGTCTCGCTTGCGGCCCGAATCGGGGGCGCGCTCCAAGGGCTCCCTGTCGGGGCCCGAGACGAGCTGACAGCAGGTCCAGCCATTGTCGATCAGCACCAAACCGCAGAGGTAGTCCTCGTCGCCGTGAGCATCGGGCGTGATGAAGGACGTGGGGTCCGAGACGATCCGATTCGACACCTCGTCCCCGACGCTGCGAACCGAAGGAAAGACGTAGTTCTCGATCCACTGGGCGACGGGGAAGGCGCCGACGCGCCCGAGGGCCACCACGCGGTGCATGTTCAAGTTCGGCCTCTGGACCGAGTAGTCGGGAGCATCGGCGATCCACACGCTTGCGGTGGGGGGTCTGGACCAGCGGCGGCCTGTATTGCCACCTCAGCCGCACCGCGTCGTCGGGAATGACCACCAGCTCCTGCGGCTCGGGCTGGTCGAGCGAGGCCTGCGCCATGGCGCCGTCACGCCTGCTGGGCGCGCTGGCACGGGGCCGCGGCCCCAGGCGAAGGCGCGGCGGCCAGCGGCGGTGCCAGCGGCGTCAGCTCGGGCCGCACACGGATGACCGGTGAGGCCCAGCGGCCACAGCCCGCGTCAGCACGGCCCCAGCGCGGCGCCCGGCCCAGCGCCCGCCAGCCGGCCCGCCAGCAGGCGGGAACTCGTCGAAGGACTCGGTGAGGCTGGATGTCGGCCCGCTGCGCGTGAGCGCGCAGGCGATGGCCGTGGCGGGCAGGCCGCGCAGGCAGCCCACGCAGCAGCCAGGGCACGGCGGGGCGCGCGCCAACTCCGACCAAATCCACGAGAGCGGATGTGCGCGAACGTGGCTCCTGCCGAAAAACTTGAGCACAAGTATTCATACGGTCGTGCTCAACAGAGGCGAGGCACAATTAACTTCAAAGAACGACATATTTATTTATTAATTTATTTTGAATATATATATATATGTATATATAAATGGTTAATTATTCCGACGGAAAAACCCCACATGATAATCTGTTTAGTTTGCCTTTACCATTTTCTTCCTCGCCCTGACGGACACTCTCCTCTCGCCCGCTGTTCTGCCCTCACCCACGCGGGAGTAATTACAGGTTGCCGATGACCCACTCGGACTACGTGCATGAAATGCGGGACCCATAGGGAGGGGGCTCCCGCCTGAGACTTCCTCACAATTCACTCACAGACGACGCTCCCGCTTGATACTTCCTCCAAATTCAAGCCTGGTGAATCCAAAAGTGACAACAGTCACAAGTTGCCGATGACCCGCTCGGATTAACAACATGAAATGCGGGACCCATAGGGAGGGGGTTCCCGCCTGAGACTTCCTTACAATTCGCTCACAGACGAGGCTCCCGCTTGATACTTCCTCCAATTCCAAGCCTGAGGAGCCCACAAGTGGCGACAGTTACAGGTTGCCGAGGACCCGCTCGGATTACCAACATGAAGTGCGGGACCCATAGGGAGGAGGCTCCCGCCTGAGACTTCCTCACAATTCACTCACAGACGATGCTCACGCTTGATACTTCCTACCAATTCAGGCCTGGGAACCGCCTCTGGGAGGGGCTGCGGTGGGTGTTCCCAATGTCCCTACGCTGGGACTGGAGACGATACCGATCGGGGACTCTTCGCTGCGAGGTCGTTCCAGCACGACCCTCGATGGCACGCGCGCGTTCAGGCGCGGGGACCGATGCGGGGCTCGAGGGACATTTGGTGTCCCAGCGGCGGCGTTTCGCGGAGGCGCTCGGGGGAAACGTTTCACTGGCGCCACCGCCGCGGGTGTTTCCACCAGCGAAGGTTGCAGGAGGAGGCGAGGCAAATCCAGCGGCGGTTTCGAAGGCAACCGCGGGTGTTTCCACCGGCGAGGGTTCCGAACTAAAGACGGCGCCAAGAAGCGCCATGGTCGCCTGGGCGCTATGTCCAAACCCTGGCGTGTGAGATGGCACCGGCGCGGGGGACGGGAATGAGTCCATGACTGCTTCGAGATCCGCCTCAAGTCGAACATCGGCGCTGCCTTTCCTGGGAGGGGGAATTGCGGTATCATGTTCTGTCCCACTGCCCTCTCCGTGATGTCGTAACGCCAAGGCGCTGTCGAACATCCAGCGCGCATAGAGGCACTGGTCCCCGCGGGTTGCAGCGCCATGCGATTGAGTCAAAGACGGTGCGGGGTGGCGGGGTGGCACAACGGAGAGGGAAATATTATAGTCTGATCACCTGTGTATGTAGGTTAACGACCAAACAGTTGAACCTACAGTGTTTGCCCGTAAATAAAAAAGGTTAAGGGGGAGGGTAGCGATCTCTTTTCCCATGCGCCGCGGGCTAACGGCTCAAGTCCTGTTAGATAGGACTGTCCGATACCTGAGCCGAGGCAATAGCAAGGTGATATGAGCGGACTTCACACACATTCCCCCCGGCCCCGGATGACGTAACGTTCCGCGCCGGGGGCGTCTGGGAATGTCCACGGATGACCGAAGGCAGATAGGAGCAGAATGCAGGTGGCGATCTGCACGACAGCGCCGGCGTACATCACAGTGCTCGCGTGCACCACGGCGCGCGTGCACAATAAACCGTCTGAGTACACCGCTACAGCCGTGTGCACACCAATGCTTGCGTGCACCACAGCGCCTGTGTACACCACAGCGAATGTGTAGACCGCAGCAGCCACCTACAGCACAACGCCTGTGTACACCACAACGCTTGCGTGCACCGCAACGCTTGTGCACAACCCAGCGCCTGCGTACACCACAACATCCACGTGCAACGCAGCGCTGGTGTACACCACGGCGCCTGCGTGCACAGGACAGGTAAAAGGAACACGTGGGTGAACTGCTGCTGCGGATAGCTACGATCGAAATTCCTAGTAAGGACGGCGGTAAGGACGCAAGGGTATTGGACGCCGACGTTGGCACTTTTGGGCGGCAGATTGCCACCGGCCGGAAGGGCTGAGGCAAGGACGCAAAGGTACCCAAGGACATCCGTGCGTCCTTACTGTGAAATTCGGCTGTAAAC